TATATTATTTCCTAGGAAGAAGATTAGTATAACAGATATTAAATTTCAAAGGTAGGCATGATCTAAAGTTATTAGGAATCACTGTGTCATAGAATAATRTAGTTCTCAATCAGTGCTTACCACAAGATACAATTTGTAACTTTTTACATGAACAAGTCCCAAATAATAATGATTAAGGTGGGTACCCGAAGGTGGGTAGCCTCCAACTTGTGATGCTCCAATTCTTACAAAATGTATTTTTGCATCAGTGAGCAGTGTTTGTCTTCCTGCACATGGGATTTTTTCTGACCACAGCAAACATGCTAAATGGATTCACACATACAAAGTCTGAGCTCTAATTCTACTATGTACTACCTGTGTCACCTTGCCAAAGGACAGACACATCACTCTTTAGTTTTAGCAGCATTTAGAAATCAGGATGACTGTTTATTTCATTAAGTATAAAAGCAACAATGCATGAAAAATTCTTAGCTTTCACTGTTAGCTATTATTATTATCCCCTGCTTTGCCAATTGGTCTCTGTGAAGACAGAATGCCTGTGGCTTCAAAATTACCCAGGTACAGTCTCTTTTTAATAAAATTATTCAAAAAGGTCTTAAGAGACCTTTTTAGTTTGTCTTTTTRCCCTTCACAAACGCTTTCCTCCTGCCTTTATCAGTAGTTTTTCCACATATGAATACTTCCATTTGGTTAGTGAGTACTTCAATTTGCATTAATTTCTGTTTCTGGAAGGGGGAAATATTGATTTATCTGACTGGTTAGATTAGGTTTAGAGAAGAGTTTTGGATTTAAGAGCCTTCAATGCTTATCTTGCAGGAGACAGGAATTATGGGCCATTTATGAATTGATGTGATTTATTAGAGCAATGCCAGAGAATTTTCTCCTCACCTGTATTATAAAAACCATTCTGCAAAATAAACAGAAAAGCAAAACAAGAAGATGCATGTCAAACTAGTGCCTAGATTTTTTTCAACACCAACATATTAGTGTTTCAGTCTTTATTGTTTCCAGGCAGAATCCTCAATATCGTTAACATTAGGGGATAAAAACTAATTTTCCTAGCTGGGCACACCTAGTGGCATATTCCTATAATCCCAGCAACCCAGAGGCTGAGTAAGAGGATCACAAGTTTGAGGCCAGCCTTAGCAATTTAGCAAGATAAAAAAATAAAAAAGAGTTAGGAATGGCTCTGTGATAGAGCGCMCCCAGGTTCAATCTCCCAGTGCCACAGAGAACTAAACCTGGTTTTCCTAAGCAATTTAAGTCATTACCAACTATAGTAAATCCAATTTCTTCCCACTATAAGTGAAAGAGCTCATTTTTTAACTTCTTGGACTCAAAAGTTAAATACTATCAGTTTTATTAGAGTTTAATAGTCCTGGTGCTTAGCTTCCAATTTGTGATGCCCCAATTCTTACAAAGTGTATTTTGCATGAGTGAGCAGTGTTTGTCTTCTTGCACGTGAGATTTTTTCCTGCTAGAGCAAACTTGTTAAATGGATTCACATGTACAAATGGTGGGAAGACTAAGTGACAATATCATGAACACATCTCCTCTGGAATCACAGGTCTTTATGCCTGAGAGGAAAAGTAGCATGTAACTTCCATGAAATAAAAAGGCTTTTATAATGGCAACACTTAAGTTTAGTTTTTTGTACTAKAAAGTACTAAAAACCAACACAACCTCAGGGCCAAAATGTTTGATAGTTTAAATTCTGTTATCTTGTGGCAGCAAGATATAAGCAGTCACACTTCCAAAATATTAGAAATTGTGTCAAATACCCAAATTTCAATGGTTGTCAATTGAGCATAGGAAACAGGAGTCCAATGTTTTTCTCCCCAGTGAAGACAGGGTATCTCATTGTAAAACAGTATTAGTATGTAAATGCAGTCTTCCCCAAGGTACTGCCATTCAACACACAATGAGGGGAATTACAGCCTTACAAGGCCTCCAACCTTCCCTGGCATCCTGGCATCAAAGGACCATCTATCTCCAACTGCTGCTTCTTGCATTTTGGTTTTTAACACAAGTCCCGGGGTTAAGACAGAGCATAATTTTTAATTTATAATTAAATAAACGATTTATTTTTATCAGAGAATTCCATTTATAGTCCATTAATTTTATTAAAATAGTTTTTAGAAAGTTCTAAGACAGGAGGAATCATTATGGAAGAATCTTGACTTAGTAGTTTTAAAATCAAGACAATGAGGGGCAGGCTTAAAAACTGACTCCTACATCAATGGATTGCTATTATTAATTTGTACTCTTTTCCCAAACTGACTTTTTTKGGGGGAGGGGCAGGGGTGCATTATCACTGAGCTCAGGCCCTTTTGACTTTTTATTTCAAGAAAGGGTCTCACTAAGTTGCTGAAGTCCTTGCTAGATGGCAGAGGCTAGCCTTGAACTAGCCTTGAAATTTGGTTATCCTCTTCCTGGTTTAGCCTCCAGCATTGCTGGGATTAAGTCACCCTGCCTGACCCAGAATAAATGATAAACTTTCCATTAAAAAGGTAGATTGGTCTCAGGTAGAACCATGGTAAATTAAATATAGAACTTACTCAGAGAAAGTGAATAGAAACAATTTTCAAACATCAGAACCTTTGAATGAATCTTCTTAAATCAATCTCTCATTCTCACAATACTGATCTTTGCTGAATTTTTTTTTTTTTTTTGGTACTGGGGATTACACTCTGGGCCTCATATATACTAGGCAAGTGCTATGAATCTGAGCTACATATTCAGCCCTTTTTGGTTTTGAGACAGGGTCTTGCGGTTAAGTTGCTCAGGCTGGCTTTGAATTTGTGATTCTCCTGTCTCAACCTGCTGAGTAGGAGTAGCCACCATTCTTGGTGCTCAAAGTATTTTTTAAGGCCTTACGTAGAGCTTCCCTTCATAGCCCACAGCACATCTTTCTTCAAATCCTTAACAGAGACAAATCTAATGGCCTCGGTCCTCAGTTAAATATGGTATTTGGGAAGAGAACAAAAACAATGTACTATTAAATACTTTGAATAAAGTATTCACTAGCTACTCGAAGGTATTCAAACCACCTCTTTGCTTTACAGATATAACAAGTTTGTTGTTTTGATTCAAGCTTTAAGGATTCTATTTTAGGAAACTCAGGTACAACTGCTATGGAAGAAAGATTAGATACAGAAAGTTTAGGGTTGGGAAAAGGATGATGACCAGATGAGGTTCTCCTTTTGCAAAGGATACTGGAAGAGAAAGACAGCTTAGTAGGGTGGGGGTTGTGGGAGTAGGGAGTATGGCTAAAATGTTTAAGAGGGTAAGATTTACTGAAGTTCAGAGATTATCAAAGGCACTTATCTCAATCATCTAACATATTCTGTATTTTTAGGACCCTAATGGGACCAAGAAAATTAACAGCTTTTTTTTTTTTTTAAATTTAAAGATAGGGTCATCTGTAGTCCTTTTTATATTTTATTTTGAGGCAGGGTATCTCTAACTTGCTGAGGCTGACCTTCAACTTGTGATCTCCTGCCTTAGTCTCCTCAGTTGCTGGGATTATTGCCTTTGTGCCCAGCTTGATGTCCATTTTAAAGCAATATTGCAATTTATTATTTGCTGTATGTTGCCTCTTCTTCCAATATCCTTGTTTGCTTTTATGGGAGTCTGAACTTGAGTTCCTGGTTTGGAGAATAAGGGAGTGGTAGGAAGAGGGAAAGCAGTGTAGAATGACAGTATGCCCCTTTATATAATTTTGGAGCTGAAAGGGAAACTAGAGGTCAAAGTGATAAACAGCTTTTAGCAGAGGAAACTACATGGTTAAAGGACAATTAGGCTTCAAAGGTAGAAGTAGGTGCGGTATATGCAAATTTAGTAAATCATTAAACCCTGGGTAGCAACCTTTGTTCTCCTGCTGAGAACAGGGTCACAGCTAAAGTTTTTCTGGTAGAGAAGGGATTTCTAAAAAATCACCCTCAGAATCAGGCTGCCAGTACAAGAGCAGAGGATAGGGTTGAGGCAGACAAAAGATCTAGCCCAACCTCCTTCATGCTTATTAGCCAATCCACCTCTAGCAAGACTTCGCCTCTCTGGATCCTTTATTTTACCTAATTTTTTGTTTTTTGGAACAACAACAAAAAAAGGTGGTTTTGTCCCTTTCATTTTAGGACACTTAAAAACACATACTGTGCAATGTACTGAAAGTGGGGGCGGGAAAGAAAGCTTTCATTTATTTGAAAAAAAAAAAAAATCAACCTGACTACAGAAAACACACATCGAAAAATTGAAACTACAGAATACTTCGAGGATTACTAAACTGTAACTGACTCATCTCTCTTCTTCACCTAGTTATCTTTTCCTTCAGCTCAAATCTGGTACTAGCCAGGACCAGTACACACCCCTGGAGCTGTTTCATTYCATTGGCTGGCAGGCCTTCTGCAGTCTACACCCTTTAATGTCAGGACACCCAGTGTTTATTTGTCAGAGACGTTCTACGGACCTATTTTTTTTGAGGGGCGGGCGGTACAAAACAAAGCGTAAAAATAACTTCACAAGCGCTTAGTAATATCCTTTAGTTAATAAAACTGTCGAGATTTCAAACCTTGAAGACTAGTCATTTTCTATTTTCCTTTTTCATCTGTCACTGCTGAAAAAAAAAATCAGAAAATAATTCTATAGTTTGCATTCCGGGGAAAAGTCAGAAGCCCACAAAAACTCTCACAGCACCATCGGATGGGCTAGGGGCCAGTCACTGCCTTCTCCAGAAGTGGAATTTGCAGCAACTGGACTAAAAGACCAGTGCAGTGTCTACTCTGATACAGCAYTGGCATAGAGAGGCCAGCGGTGATGGCTCGCGGGGGAAGGCTGACTACACTGTGGTTTCAGGGCGGAAAAATCACTTATCTTCCAAAACTGCCACACCCGAGACCGGCTGGCCCGGGTGGAGAGCTTGGGAGGGGAACACCGCCCGCCCGAGCGCTGAGCAGTTGCTCCTCGCAGGAGGGCGGGTAAGACGGGGCTCAGCGAGCGCTCACCTCCCTTGCAGGGCGTGCGGTGCTGGCTGTGCTGGGCCCGGTAGCCCTCGATGACCTCCCAGGAACCGTCGTCGCGTCGAATGGGGAAGGAGAGGCTCAGCACATGGTTACAGGGCTTGATGATTCTCAGGATGCCTCGCACCCGGTTCCGCTTCTGTTCCTCACTCTCCCGGGTCTTCAGGTCCTCCACCAGCTTATCCTCCACGATGCTGGCACCRCGGTCGAAGAAGCCCTCCACCATSTTGAAGAAGTTRGGGTCGTCTTYASGGTCGGCAGCCGCCTCGCTGTAGTGGCGCCGGGAGGGCGGCGTGAATCCCGGCTGCGGGGAGGCGGCGGGTTGTCCGCGGGCCCAGCCCAGCAGCGCAGCCGAGTCGGCGGCCGCAGAGGCCAGCGCAGCGGGTCCGGCGCGCGACAACAGCAGCGCTTCGCCCAGGCGGCAGTACATGGCGGAAAGTAGAGGCGAGAGGCGAGCGGGCCGCAGAAGAGGTGCGCTCGGAGGCCTGGGACTGAGGGAGGAAGAACTTGGAGCTGGCAGTCCTTTTAAGCCGCAGCTTCCTGCCTGCCTGGCTGTCCCCTCCCCTCGACCGCTCGTCGTCTAACGGGAGGAAGGACTTCGGGGGCCGCGCGCCGCCCAGGGCGCTCGGCCTCCGCCTCCGCTGCGGCCTCGCCCGGCCTCCCAGGCGGCGGCGCGTGCCGGCCTGGTGTCGGGGGCGCGCAGGCGCGGGCGGTTGGTGCGCATGCTCACCGGCGGGAGGAGGGGTGGGGGCGGGCGCTCCGGCGACCGGATCTCTTGGGAGCCCGCCCCTAGCCTTCTGGGGGCTCTCAGGTGTGTGCGCGCTGCTGGGGGAGGGGACCGAGCGAGGGAGAGGATCCTAGTCTCTCGGGGGCGCTGCGGGCGTAGTTGCGGGGTCTGGGCGGGACCGAAGCCTGGAGGTCTGGCCGCGGGCCCGGGGCGTCTTAGTCATGTTTCCGTCCGCCTGCTAAGGGGCGCCCTGGGGCCGGAACCAGTGGTGCGGGCCTCAGGCTCTTGAGGCCGGAAAGCGATGCGGAGCAGAGGGTGTTGAGGTCTGGCTCAGGGCTGGGCCTCCACCMGGGGTGAGGAAAGTTTTCATCACTAGTGGAACTGAGAGGAACTATAAAGGAGAAGGTCGCGGGGCTGGGGAATCCTTGACCAACTGGCTTTTACTACCCACGTTTTTAATTTGTCCCGTTCTACTAAAAGACATCGAGATAAAAGTTACGCAAAGCACTGTTGTCTTCCTCGATTCGTTGACTGTACTTCCTATTTTCCAGAATTATGGTCATGAAATAGTCTAAAACATGAAATAGTCTAAAACAAGGCAATGTGGAAATGCGATTATGCTCAGGAATAARTAAATAAATAGGAAATGCTAAATCTAATGCACTTCTTTAAATAAGATGTTTGAAAGAGCCTAATGACTCAGTCATTAAGGAAAGCTACCAAATGCCACATGACCATCTGTAGTGGTCCCATAATACTTTGGCGGTTTTTAAATGTCATCTTTTTGTATTTCCTGAAATTCATCTATTAGATCACTTCATTCGTCTATTAGAATATGAAAGAAAAATAAGTCTCACAAGATTCTGTAAAGTATATTCTTATGTTTTTCAGCAGAAAAGAGACCAGTATCCTGAATTTATTTTGATGGTCAAAAAGTTAAAGGTACCAAATTTTGTTTTCACTTGATAGTATTATTTTACCATTTAAAGTT